TTTTTTTTTTTTTTTTTTTGTCTTTTTCCGTGTCCGGCAACGGACCGCAACCCTCAGTGTCGCCCCCGTACCGGACCGGGACCGGCAACGGGATCGCAGCCCTCGGCGTTGCTCCCGCGCCTCGCTCAGCCAGTGAGCGGGAACCGGTCTGTATGTGGGATCCGAACCCTTGACGGGAGCGCTGCCGCGCTTCCCAAGCGGTGCACTATAGCAGTGCGCCACCGGTCATTTTTGCTCTGGCTAGAGTTGGCCTCCTAGCTTCAGGACAAAGCTGCAGCCAGAGAAGGAGTATGCCAATGGGACAAACTTGCCAAGAGGCCAGTAGGTCTGCATGGGGAGTCATGATTCAGAGCAGGTGATTATTACACTGCTCCTGGTCATTTCTCCTGGACGCATGAGTGGAGGTAGTGATTTCTTGAATTACTGACAAAGGGTTGCCTTCATAGCTGTTCACAGAGGTCCTTATTTATTCATTCAATAAATATTAATCGTGCACTTCTTATGTATCAAACATGGCTGTGAATACACAGGGAATAGGCAAAGGCCTTTCCCTCATGGGGCTTATATGATGTCAAGAGGTGACAAGAGCTATGAAAAAATCAAGTAGGAATGGGCTACATAGTTAAAAGAAATGCTATTTCATTTAGCTGAGAAGGATTCTTTGAGGAGATGACATTCCAGCATAATGGATAAACTACCTAAAAGAAAGATGTCCCCAGTTGAGACAGTTTATGAGAGATCTGCTGGGGGAGGACCATCTCCATCTGGAATTTCATGGCTGGCTGAGGTGAGGAAGAGAAGTGGATGGAGAGGAGAGGTTCTAGGAAGAGTAGGGGACATGGTCTTGGAGGCTCCTCCTCTGCCTTATCCTCTGCAGAGTTGTCCAAAAGTCCCCTTTCCTTATTGCTGGAGAGCCACATCTCAAAGAGTGGCACTCTCTGTCCCTAATCTTCCATTGTCAACCACTAAGACCTGTAGATTCTGCCTCTTTAAATTCTCTCATATCGCTCCAGCCCCAAGGCACTTCCCAGTACAGGTTGTAACCATGAAGCTTTTGGGTAATTGCCACAGACCCCTAATGCTCTCCCCACCTCCAGAATCGTCCTCCTCCTCCCTTTTCCACAGCCAGAGAGACCTTTCCCCAGGGAAAACCTGATCAAGTTACTCCCTTGTTTAACACCCCAGGTATTATAAAATCCAATGTGCTAATCATGGTCCACAAGGCTTTCATGACTGGGTGCCTAGTGACCCCTCTAGTCTCATCACTGTCCCTTCCTATCCCCTCGTACTTTTTAGCCTGGCTATGTTGGACCATTTGCTTCTCCCCAAATATATCATGCCTCTTGTGTCTTTGGATTTTACAGCTCATCCTTTTCCTGCTCTTACTATCCTTTGTAAAACTTCTTGAGAATTCAATTTGGTCATTGAAATACTTAAGAAAGCTTCCCTAATTTTTCAAAATCCAAGCTGGTATTTCTCCTGGTTGTCCCCAGAGCCCCCTGTGCATCTTTCTACTGTAGTCTTTATAATGCTGTACCATCATTGCTTATGAATGAGCCTATCTCAGTTCTAAACTTGGGCTCCTTCTGGCCAGAATTGCACTCATTCTTTTTGTATCCCTCACATAAAGCTCACGTTGACTGAGCTGAATGGATAAATAAAGAAGAAATTGAATGATTGCATAAACTGATGAATGAAGGAAGGGATGAATGAATGGTGCAAACGACTCAGCTTTTTCAGGGGAGAGCCTGCCTTTTGCACTGATGATGAAAACATATGGTGGAGGCAAGGTAGGCCCTTCACTGAGCAAGGATGTCAGACCTTGGAGTCTAGAAATCTAGGGTTCATTTCTCACCTCATCAGAATCAAGCAGTTGCAAAGATGAGTCTCATGTTCACAATGTCTTTGAGAGATAAACCCGGAAAGCCACCCTATAACCTCCTGTCTTTCCTCTTCATCCTTTGGGTCTTGGGGACATCTTTCTTTTAGGAGCTGTCAAAATCTCCAAAGGCAAGGAGGACCCTGGAGGCCTACTGAATGCTTGAGGAGAAGCAGAGAGGCTGGATCAGGTGCATTCCAGAGCAGCAGAGCACAGGTAGGTCAGGGCTGCTCATGGAACAGGATGGAGGCTAGCAGCAGGCTAAGCCAATGACGTGCAACTTTGATGAAGTCTCCTGAGAAAGATCAGTCTAGATAGGTTGGTGAGGAAGGACAGACACCCTAGATCAAGGGCGGAATGTATGTGATCTTTAGCAAGTGACTTAAATTTTCTGACCCTTAGCCCCCATTTCTTCATCTCTAATGGGGAAGAAGAATCTCTGCCTCATGGGACTGCTCAT